GAGCACCAAAGGAGCGAACACGATGAGCAGCAATGAAGACGAAGCACGGATCCGAGCACGGATGAGCACCGGCCAGCAAATCGAACCACGATGAGCACCAAATCGAACCAAAGCACGATGAGCACCGAGCACCAAATCGAACCACGATGAGCACCGAGCACCCTCCCCGTCGAGCAGCAAAGGAGAGCACCGTGTGTGTGTGTGTGTGTGTGTGAGAGAGAGAGAGGGAGAGAGCAATGAGCACCAAGGAAAGCACCAAAGGAGCGAACACGATGAGTAGCAATGAAGACAAAGCACGGATCCAAGCACGGATGAGCACCGGTGCCACTGGCCACCAATCGAACCACGATGAGCACCAAATCGAACCAAAGCACGATGAGCAGCAAGCACCAAATAGAACCACGATGAGCACCGAGCACCAAATAGAACCACAATGAGCACCAAATAGAACCACGATGAGCACGATAAGCACCGACCACGCAAGGATCCACGATGCGAAAGCACGGGGCACGGAGCACGGAGCACAAAGGCACACGGTGAGAAAGGCGGATGAAAGTGCCGTGGGCGGCAACAGCATTCCGCGCGGGCGATTGGAGGGGCGGGCGGGCAACCAAAAAACGGGTGCGCGGGCGATAACGGGTACCAAACGGACATGATTCGAGGGGTGGGCTCGCGCCGGGCCGCGATCTGGGCCGTCCGCGAAGCGTTACCGGCGACGGCCCAGATCGCAGGCCGATGAGAAAATGAGAAAACTTTCTCATCGGCCTGCGATCTGGGTCGTCCGCGGTAACGCTTTCGGCCTGCGTTTCAGGCCGTGAGATAAGAAATTGCGATTCTTATAGTATTGTAGAAGGGGAAGGGGAAGGGAGGACACGGAAACCTGAAGTTCAAACCCTTCTTTGTTTGTTTGTTTGTTTTTTGAAACTCCTTCAGATCTCTGGTTTACTTTGTTGGTTACGGGCTGGGGAGGAGGGAGGGATGAGGGATTTGAGACTGACCTCGCCCCTCACCCTTCACCTCCCGCCCTCGAGTTCGCCTTGGTTTCACTGGTGGTGCCGTGGTGCCGTCTGCAGCATATAAATGCATCACTAGTGTCTCAAAATAAATCAAGCAAGCCCTCATGACGCCTTGGTTTCAATTCCTAACCAGAAACATAAACAAATAAAAACTACACGACTCGACTCGGTCTCACATTCACGTCCAATTGAAAGACATCGACTCCCCGTCGTTGACCTTCGTCATCTATGACATAATATCTCTTCATCTGTGGCGCGAGGTCCCACTTCCATGGATTTGGAAAGATGGGGGCAAGGTCCTCTTTTGCGTATTGGGAGATCTATCCGTCTTTGCTTTGACATGCCAGTGGGCACCACAACGTTCGGCTGTCCGCTGCTACTGTTGCTGTCAGACCACAGAGCAAGAGGGGCACACATCGTTGCTCTGTTGAAACCCCATAGCCACTGGGACCTGTTGTCTGCTTCTGCATGAAAAGAGGGACCTTGCCCCTCGATCTGGCCCCTGCTGGCCCGTTGAAACCCAGACTCTGGGTTCCATCATGCCAGTGAAGGCCACGCCGTTCGGCTGCCTGCTGTAGCTGCTGCAGCAAAATAACTTAGGGTTACTCACACTACGATAGGAGTTTTTTGAACTGATCTCTGTACAAAATTGCGGCCAGATATGTCCAAGCCTCTGCTCCCCGCAGCCTTCAAGACTCCATGTCCGTCCTGTGCCTCGAAAGCATGAATCTCATTGTGAAATCCACCAGGTTCACTCATCAACCTAGCAAGAACCGCGCCGTCAGGGCCATAAACCACACCAGAATGTTTTTTTTTTTTCTCTCTTTCTTTTCCCCCAAAGAGTTACGGCCTTTGGATATCATCATCATTGAACTGACCGACCCCAGGCGATTCAGAATGCTCTTATTCTCTTCATCTTAAGGTATCCGGGTTCGAACTCGGGTCTGTATTTCAACAGTTCAGGGTTGTACCAACTGAATTAGGCCCGTTGCATTTTCACGTCGTTTTCTTTTGCAGGCAAATGTAAACAAACAACTTTTTTTTTTTTCAATAAATCAGAATCATTAGATATACACTTGATTTTACTTATAGCCAAAAGCCCAAGGAAACCAACGGGCCTAGCTCAGTTGGTACACCCATGAACTGTTGAAATATGAATCAGACCCCAGTTCGAATCCAGATGCAATCAGATGACCAGAAAATTCTGAATTACCTCAGGCCGGTCAGTTCAATGAGGATATCTCAAGGTCGTTGCCCACTACACATTAGGGCCTCGTTAGACTCTCCTTGGAAATTCGATTTTTAGAAAATCGGCTTCGTTACACCGCGTCCTAATTCACCAAATTCCTTGGACAAATGTGAAAATGCTTCCAAGATATTTCCTTGGGTTCCTCATAAATGCCAGCCAAGATGTCCTTGGATTCAAGGGGTCCTCGTGAGGTCCCTCGGGCTCAAGGAGCCGCGATTGATGGGCCGTGGTGGAGCATGCGTCGACACCAAAATTTGGAGTTTCTCGTGGTGCACAGGTCGTCCATGGTCCAGACGGGCGGACACCGCCGGCCTCCAGTACGGGACGATCCCCCAACGGCTGTGTGTCGTTACCGTTGGCGCGTAAAGGTGTGGGGGTGGTTCTTCAGCTCCGAGGCGTTTCATGTGGCGGGGTTCTCCTTATGCACGTCGTCGGGCGTGGGGTCCAACGGTCGACTTTTCCAATTTTTTTAACACCAACGTGTGAGCAGTGCGGGCCGACTGCAGTTCTCCTTCAGGGCGTGCATTGTCGGCTATTGACAGGCTCACGGGAGCAAGCTCTGGTCGATGCACCCCTGGCCTGCTGCGATTCATGGCAGACGCGCTCCACCGGGTCCCGCTCCTGCTGCTCACCACTCTTCTCCTGCTCCTTGTGGTCTTGTTGCGCGTGTGTGTCGTTGTGCGGGGTCCGCAGAGTAGACGAAAACGACGCACGTCGAGGAAGGCGACGATGGAAAGGCGGGAAACATCCAACGGACTGCACATGCGTGCGATCGACTTCTCCACTCCAGACCTGGCAGTAGCGGCGCGGCGTACACCCGCGTATGACCTCACATCGTACAGTCATCTGCCACCACACGAGCAGCCGTTACCGCCGGATCCGGAAGAGGAATGGCTGGAGGATCTGTCCCATACTCTGCTTCTGGGGAGCGGATCTACGCAGGACTGGATGGGGAGCCATTGCCGACAAAGGGAGGCAGAGAGAAGTCGCCAGTCGTTCTCGGCAATGCTGGAGGAGGGTGCCGATGGAGGCGACACGGAGATTGTGGACTTGGATTTCGGCTTGTCAAGTGGGGTTGCTGCACCAGTTACGAACAATTGTGCATTGAGCCACGTCGCTGCCACGACCGTCGGACAGACGTCTGTGCACGGGGCGGGGCCGCGGGAGTGGTGGGGTGTGGCGGAAGGTCGTGTCCGGTGGCGGCGGTGGGTGGCAGCGCAGACGGGTGTCGTCTGACGCCCTCCTTCTCTCGAGGCGCGGGAACATCTGGCGACAAGGCGACGACAACGTTACCCCCCCACTCGACAACGCCTTCATCCCACCACGCCGGAGGGTGGCCGCACCGGCGGCGAACACGACCACGACCCCGCCGGAAGAAATTGGCAGGCACGTCTGGGAGTCCTATCGCCAACAGATGCGCGGACCGACCGCTGAGAACATAACGAACGGGGTGTCGAGGATGCGTGTTGGAAGCGATGCCGATGCGGACGACACCCGGAGGGCGACTGGTGACTAATCTTCGGATTTTCATTGCGAGGACGAACTGGACGATGCAGAAGAGTTGAAGATTCGACCCGTGGGTGTGCGTGGTAGTGGGAGGGGTGGATGCGGGCGTCAACAGAATCAGGGATCCCGTGGTGGTCGAATATCGAAGGCTCCTGCAGGCGACAAGGGTGGCAAACATCGGACTTGGAGTGTTGTGGAGATGGTGAAGCTCGATAGGGCGAAGCGGGATCAACAAGCTCATTTCGTTGGGATGCCTCACAACTACGGACGCATGCGCAATAGGGAATGGAAGTTGCAGGACCTGCAGAAGCGTTTGGTGGAGGTGGACGTGAAGAGGACTACCGACGACATTGGGAAGAAGTGGGATAACCTCTTCCAGCAATATAAGAAGGTGCAATGATACCAGAATGCCTCCAAGGGGAAGAATTTCTTCAACTTGACGCCCGCGTTGAGAACGGAAGAGGGCTTCAACTTCCGAATGGATGATTGAGTGTACCTTGAGATCGACAACATGTCTCGAGGCAATAAAACCATCTACCCAGACAACGTCGCCGATGCGAGCGCCTGTGGAGAAGCGCAGATGCCGGGGGACATGCAACGTCCGCCATCAATCACAGGAGAATCCATCGCCGGGGTAGACGCGGGTGATGGAAACGATGAAGATGGAGGGTCGGCTCGGGAGTCTGGGTTCAGTGCAGGAAGCACAGGCGACGCTGGCAAGAGGAAGAACATGCGTCAGCAGACGTTCAACACTATCGCCGAAGTCATGGAGAAGCACGGTGCATTGATGGCGGACACTGTGGAGGGGGCAAGGAAGCGGCAGTGTTCCATCCTGGAGCGGCAGTGCGACATACTCGAGCGCGAGGTCGACGCCCAGAAGCGGCACTACGACGCGTCCGACGAGGCGAACAGGATGATGTGCGCTGCGTTATGGAGATCGCGAAGGCCATCAGGGACAGGTCCTGATGCCGCCTCAGCTCTGCGGGTGATCGTCATGTCGATGCATGCATTGACATTGCATCCCTCGCTTGTTTCCCGACAATCTGCCGCACTGATGGCGAAGAGTCCTCACGTCTTCCTTTAACGGGCGTGGTTCATGGCATAGTCGACGGTTGGATTGCTCACGTAGTTCAACGGTTGTGGCCATATATATATATATATATATATATCTGATTTTCGAAGCAGGAAGTCCAAGCCGTCACGCCGGGAGCGCACCGGGGCAGGGGAAGGTCTGTTGAAGCAGTATAAAGGTCAGTGCATGTCTGCTGGTGCGCATGTGCTACACTTCGTTGGCGTCAATTCCTTGTATCGCTTGAGGGTTGTCTTCCACGGCGCCAGGAGTTCATCGTCCGCGCTATCGCTAAACACCTACGCTGTCCTCACTTGCGCGTCCGTCGGTGGCATAGCATGTGGACGCATCACGATCTGTCCGTTCTCTATTGTCCACGCCACGTGGCAGTTAGACATCGCTTGTTTTTGTGGCACGGGATTGACGGATCGTTAGCGCATGGCGCCACGTGGACAGTCCCAGTTGAAAAGGCGAGACAACGGAACCATCGAAGGCAGGGGCGGGCAAAGCGGAAGTGGGCACTTCCCGAAGTCGAAAAAGCCGCGCGGTGACGGATCGGAGGGTGCGATGGGGGGGCAGGGGGAAGAAGATGTCTCAGCCGTGGACATCCCTTCGACGGGGACGCCGACTCTTGGATTTGGGAGAGACGGGGTGAGCAGGGAACATTTTCAAGGACTGGCCGACCTTGCTGTGCCAGGATTCGCTCATGGTGGTGGAAGTGGGAGTGGCCGTTCTGAAGGGATCGTTATCAGCGCGACACAAGGACTTGCACGGACTTGCATGGACACAGACATGTATAAATCGCATAACAAAGGTGCGACACAAGGACTTGTACGGACACAGACATGTATAAATCGCATAACAAAGGCGATAACGCCATTTACACAAAAACCGTGATGGAGCGCCCCTCCCTCACTCTTCCAATGTTCGATAGCAGAAGAAAACTAACGCCAAGAAAAGGGTGGGGGGGGGGGTGTTGGGGAGAAACTACATAGAAAAAAAAAATAAAAAAAATCCAAGGAGTTGGCCAGCAATCATCCTACACTACACTGCCGCCGGAGCACCACAACACCAGTCGAATCCCCGACGTCACCACGTTCGCCCTTCGTAACAGATTGACGCCCAAGCTACCGCCGTGGGGAGACTCCCCGCGTTAAGTCGTGCTTCATGCACTCCGCCAACGCTTCGCGTAGGGCCAGCGCACGAGGACGATTGAAGTTCTCCGCAATGGGGTGGGGAGGGTGATCCAAGCCCAAGTCCACTCGCTGGCGCACGCCATTCGCGTCCACCTCCCACAACAAGTTCTCGTCGAAATCTATGCCAGCATCGAGGAGGATGTTGTGCAGAATGCACACTGGTTGGAACTGTTGCGGGAGAGTGTCCATATTCGTTTTGTGCGTGCGAAGGAAAAGCCTCCACATCCCCTTCAATCTTTCGAAAGCTCTCTCCACTGCTCCTCTGGCGACCTTCTGCTTGTTGTCGAACCTCTCCTCATTGGTGCATTGATCGGTCCCTCCGTAAGGCACGACGATCCACTCCATAGGAGGATAGCCATTGTCCTCGAGGATGTACCCATGTGTCTTCACCCCGAACGGCAGCACCGCGGCAGGTCCACGGAAAAGATCCCCCTCCTCCGCACGTGCCCACATACTTGAAAGCTGGAGCACCCGAATGTCGTGGCAGCTCCTGGGATACCCGACGAAAACGTCGGTCACACGCAAGTCCAAGTCCACCACCACCTGCGCAACAACAGAAAAACGATGCTTCCGGTCGAAGTAGTTCTCGGAAGGTGCGTTCGCCGGTTTGTCGACATATATGTGCGTGTAGAGTATGCAGCCGTAGCAGTTGGGGAAACCCTTGGCCTCGAAGGCGCGCAAAACGACCACCCGCCGCAATACGGAAGGACAAACGATCTTCTCGCGGTACACCCTCAGAAGCGCCCGAGTCACGTCCTCCACCGCAATCAAGCCTGATGTGCGTCCTATGCCGAATGACGATGTGCTGCTCTCGTACGTCTCCCCGCTCGCCCAACTGTAAAGCGCGTACGAGATGATGTGATCCGGCATCAAAGGCACCCTGTAGAATGTCACCCTCCGCTGGAGATGAGGGGACAACGCCTCCACGATCTCCCGGAACAACCTAGGGGACATCCTCAACTTCTCCTTATAGTACCCGTCCACCACGTCATCCATCTTCCGGAGATCCTCCCATGTCCCTCCCGTCCTTCTCCTCATCCACCACCTTGGAGTCGCCCGCATGATCACACCGGACGCCATGGCGCAGCAAAATTGCACAATGGATTCTGATAACGACACACAGTCGGGCGCCTCCATCACTTGTTGCATGCCTGCGAATGGACAGCCTCATCTTCAGGCGAGCTGACGTTTTCTGTATGTGATAGCGCATGGCGATTGCCGACACAACTGCAACCACCGCATTTCTCTCCGAAGCCGTCAATGTATTCGCATCGACCCGCAGCACTCCCTCCATCTTCACAACGTGCAATGCGGAACTGCCCACCACTGTTTCGATCGCCGGCACCCTCACTCCGATGTCTGCATGTGGACGGGAACGGCAGCAGCACTACCCATGTCTCATGGAGGCCTGAGGTGCGCGCTCAGCTGTGGCGGCCCGCATGATTGTCGTCGAGGGCCCGGATAGGAATGTGTAACTCCTGACCATTGTCGCACTCCGAGACCGTCACCGTCTGCACTGCTTCGCCCCGCCTTCAAATGCCGGCGTATTAAGCGATGGCCGCCAGCACTTCTCCGCATACATTTTGCTCCAGTGCGCGCTGCACCGGTCTGGACACCTCGGGCATGGATGCGTTTCAGCGAAGGGTTCGAAATTCGAAATTCGAACAGGGATGTTCGCGCCTTTTTTTTCCCCCAGCCTGGAAGGCCTCCCTGCCGCCGCCACTGGACCACACCTGAGGACGCACACATCCCAGTGCGCCGACGAACATCCAGCCCCGCGGCGGCGTATATGCGTTTGAAATCGGCCGCGGGAGACCTCCGAGGGTTTTCCTTGGGACCCATTGAATTAGGACGCTGTGTAACGACGCCGCCGAAAACCGGAAAAATTTCCAAGGACCTCATCCTAATTCCTGAGGAATTTCCAAGGAGGGTCTAACGAGGCCCTTACTCCACATGCATGCATTTGGACGCTTTCTGGACCTGATACATTCAAAATGTTGGACTCGTCCGGCCCAATATTTGGACTGTGAAATGAGGAGTCGGTTGTTAGAGACAGTGGAATGTGTCTGAAATGTGTCATATAATATATGCATGAAATGCTCTCCACGAGGTCTCTCTCCGCTATGCAACATTCGACATGCATCTGGATGCCTTTCTGAACCAGATGCATTCGAAGGAGTTCAATATTTGAATGTATTGGGAGGATTGTGAGCTCCGGATACATACAGGGTCTCGCTCCACCACTGTCCGCTGCCCACAAATTCGGAGAGTCCTTCCAAATTGAAGAAAACAGCGCCATCGCTCCAGTACTGTCCTCGGCACGACTATCCAGGCACTCCAATGCAAATTGAAGAAAACAGCGCCGTCCCATCCTTCGTTCCGGGGAGGACCTTCCACATATTAACCAAGGTTGCAGGCGTGGAAGTATGCGACTTTGGAGAGTGCATTCGTAGAGTTGATTCTGACAGCTATGCGCAAGTTTGCCGATGTGTGAAATTGGATAGTAGTGAAGTGATGCACTGCTATCCGATGTTGGCAAACTTGCGGAAAGGTTCTCACACAAAGGCACTAGCACAAGCAAAAATGGTTGAAAAGTTTACTGTTTGAAAAATAGCAAAACAACCCATAATACCAAGAGCTAATAAAAAATCACCTATACCTCGATTCACAAGCATTGCTTTAATAGCTGCTTCATTTGCTTGAAGTCGTGTAAACCACGGCGAGGGTATCCAGCGGCCTAGCTCAATTGGTTTACAAACAGGACCGGTTTGTGAAATTGGAGAGTTGTACTGTAGTGGAGTGATGCACTACTATCCAAACTCGGACAGCGCCTTTGTCCAGCGGCCTAGCGAAGTTGGTTTACAAACAGGACCGGTTTGTGAACCAGGTGTCCGCAGGAACAGGTTCACAAACAGGACTGGTTTGTGAACCAGGTGGTACTACTGTAGTTAGTTCTGAAGCTACAGGGTGCCTGGTCCCATTAGCAAAGAGAATGATTGGGTTTAATTCATGAATCTGGATGTGCTTTGAGCAGAGATGCAGAAAAGCAGATATTCTCTGCATCCGTCCACAAGCACGTCCCAATTCAGGAATTATAACCAATCCTCTTTGGTGATGCAACCAGCCCACGGGTGTGTACTAGTATAACAGGTCTGTCATCCAGCGGCCTAGCTCAGTGGTGGGTAAGGCACAACCCCAATGGCCTGCGGGCAAGCTTTGTGCCCGCCACCTAGAGAGAGGTTGTTCGTCCACCCCCGAGCGGCATTGAGCAGAGACTGCCGATGCCAGTAGGAGGAGGGGACTGGAGGGGAGGCACAGGGACTGGCCCATCGAAGAAGCTTCGTCCTGATCATGCTACCGGTCGACCCCTGGCCAGTATCGCCCACCTGCAGGTCGGGCGCAGCCCCCACATGTTCCCTCGTTGGAGGCTTGAACTCTCACTGGCTGCTACGAGGTTCCCCGTAATACTACAATGATAATAAAAAGCCCGAAAGCCCATCCTGTCGTTCTGTCCAGATTTGACAGGTTCTTTTTTTTTCTTCTTCTTCTTAAATTTGACAGGTAATTGAATTGGTTGGGCTTAAAAGAATAAGGGCCTCGCCACACCACAGTCGAAAGGCAAAAAAAATGGATGGCTGTCAGAACAAATTCGACAGCCTCCATTCGACAGTTTGCCCCCCCTTCGCCACACAGCACTGTAGAGTGCACGCACTTGTGAAAGCAAGATGGAAAAAGACGAACGCGCCCGAGGGTACGATACGACAAGCATCAGTCCATCCCGACCTTACCCCCACTCACCAAATTTCGAAGCGAAGTCGACGGCGCAGCCGAGGGATGTCGAAGGCATCGGAGTAGCAGGCTGGGGATATCCACAACTTTCGACAGGAGGTGTCGAGAACCATTCTCTGACAACTCGCGAATTTTCATTCCGTCTCCGACTTCGACAGCCTGTGTGGCGAAGAGAAACTGTCGAAAATCGCATTTTCGACAGTAGTGTGGCGAGGCCCTAAGCCTTAAACCACCAGTACCTTTGCCGCTTCAGAAATGAGGCCGCCAAACGCCAGCTCCCGAAAAATTCTGACGCCAGGACCAACGACGACTGCCATTGATAAATCTAATCGGCAGCCGTCGTTTCGTTTCGGCCTCCCGAAAGGTCGGAGGCCCACTCACTATTTTCTGAAACAACAAAGGTATTAGTATATTAAAAAAAATAACACTAAAGCCGAACAGCAGACAGTGGTGGAGCAGAGTGTTGTGTAGTGGAGCGAGGCCCATGGCCACATGCACAAGAGACAAAAAATATCGCGGTGTATCTTTCCATGTTCTGGTGGAAGGTTCGTTCTCATTTCGCACATTTGGTGAGTAGAGCAGCAATGCTTGATGGGTCCATGAGCCAGAATGTCAGAGAGAGACAGGAGTGCGTCAGACATGCGTCAGAGAATATATGCACGAAATGCACGGAACCACCGGCCCCACTCCACTGCTCAACATTCTACATATACTACCTGGACTGTCAGTTGAACCAGATACGTTCGTAATGATCAAAACATTTTGGATGTATTGAGATCGCGTTCATCTCCAGATACGTATTGAATATTGTGCTGTGGAGCGAGGCCTAGTATTCAGGAGGTGAAATGATGGGTCTGTGAGCCAGATTGTCAGAGTCAGAAGAATGTGTCAGATAGTATGCTTTGTATTCGAATACAACGCACAAGCCTTTTATTCAAACAAAACAAACAAAAAAATCGGACTGCACGCTACGGCTGGGAATTGGACCCCTCACTTCATGCTTGTGGCAGGGATCACCGACAAAACTGTACTGTGCAGTCTCTCCCAAAAAAAAAAAAAAAAAAAAAAAAAAAAGACAAGAAAAGAAAAGGAAAAGAAAAAACTGTGCAGTCTGCGCTTCATGGTCGGACAAGGTTTGTTCTTTCTTTTAAAAATAAAAATAAAAATAAAAAATCCATCTGTCCCACACCCATCCCCCCCCACCCATCACACTATATCTCAAACCACTCGCCATCGTCTTCCCCCAAACATAACACGAATGCGTTGTAATTTGTAAATGAATACACCGACGCATAAGTTGCTTTTTATTCGAATACAATGCGCAAGCCTTCTATTCGAACAGCCCATATTTTCGAGAACAACTCATATGTCTTCTATTCGAATTTTTGATTTTTCAGAAAACTCGAACACAGCATATGCGTTGTATTCGGGGGAAGACGGTAGTGGGGCCTCCCCTACTACAAGGAGCGAGATCCAACTAGTCATGTATGTGGATTAGCGTGACGGGTGTGGGACGGCTGGGGGACAGGTGGATGGCAGCGTGAAATAGGGAAAATAAACGCAAAAAAACATTTCGTGACCAAACCAATGAAGAAAAGACTGCTAAAAAAGAAAAGAAAGTGCTCTTCTGTCAGATGGTGCCTGCTCCAGGCCGGGTGTCAGACGTCAGGGTATGATTCACTGACCATGCCTGTGGCCGTCGAGACGGCTGCATGTGAGTGGGCGCACGGACCATATTCATTGACAATGAATAGTCTGAGGCTTCCTTGAAATAGTTCGCAGTGCACACCTTTCTGTTGTTCTGACAGAAATTCTCTTTGGCAAAGGAGGGCAAGAGTAACTCCATCCCAAAAAAAAAAAAAAAAAAAAAAAAAAAAAAAGAGCATACACCATTTGCTATAGGTGAGGGGATCAAACCCTGAAAAAAAAAAACACCTCGCAAACCACAATCAATTTCCAGCGATGAAGCCATTCGTCTTTGCCTTTTCGCCGTGAGTGAAATGTGTGTGATTTCACGAACCAAAAAACGTGGTTCTGATTTCACGGACGTTTGGGACAGCCACAGGACCCCGACCCCAACCCCAAAAACAAAAGAAAAACCTACCAATGGGAGAGCAAAAGAAGACATCCTTTTCCCGGGCTTAATTCACAAAAACAGGCCATGGTAATAGCTGATTTCCTGCCGAATCCACGATCATGCCTGACAGTCGCACACCTTAAACACTAATCCACATACTTCAGTAGTGGTAGTGGGATCTTGCTCCACGTGGTCTCGACTGCCACAGCCATGGTCAGTGAATCATACCCTGACATCTGAGACCCCGCCTGGAGCAGACACCATCTGTGAGAAGAGCACTCTCTTTTTCTCTTTTAGCAGTTTTTTTCTTCATTTGTTTGGTCATGAAATGTTTTTTTGCGTTTATTTTCTCTATTTGACGCTGCCACCCACCTGTCCCCCACCTGTCCCACACCCGTCACACTAATCCACATACATACATGGCTACCATCTTCCCCCGAACACAACGCACCATCATTTTGGCTGTACCGCACCGTAAATATAGCTTGTATACATTCATTTTCATGGTGCGTTATGTTCGGGGAAGACGGTAGTGGGATCTCGCTCCAGGTGCGGTGCTCTAACAATACACATGTGAGGGCAACTGGCACCACGTTCCTTTCTTCGAATAATATATATTATAAAAAAGAAAGAGAATTCCGGAAAGGGTCATGGGCCCATGACCTTGAGATATCATATTGTTCGTCAAACCGACCGGCCCTAACAAAAAAAAAAAAAAAAAAAAAAAAAAAAACGATCGGCCCCATCTAAATAGAAAAGGCCTACTATTGGAGGACGCTCTTATCACCTTCAACAATAGCTCGCCGGAAGATGTTTTCTTTTTTTCAAAGGAAAAAAAAAAAAAAAAAAGAGGAAATTTTCTCGTCTAGTTCCGTCTGAATTTCAGTCGTCTAGTTCTGTCTGTGTTCTACTAAAACACCGGAGGCCAAGTCCCGAATCTGGACATTTTGGTGGAGATGTGCAGAGATTGCGTCGAGTTTCCTCAACCGCACCTCTCCACAAACACGTCCAGATTCAGACGTTGAGGAAACTCAACCCTGCTAGTGGGACTTGGCCCCAGGTACGGAAATTCGCGTCTGCAGTGTGGGACTGTGTGGCAAGTGAGCTAGTAGGATCCACGGGGACTACGGCCCCACTAGCAAAGAGGATAGCATGGAATGCCTGAATCTGGAAGTGTTTAATGCAGAGATGCAGAAAAGCAGTTCAATCTCGATTTCCTGCACCTCTCTACAAACACGTCCAGATGCAGTCATTCTATCCGATCCTCTTTGCTAGTGGGACCACGCTCCTGTAGGTTCCTTTCTAAAAAATCCTCCTTTTCGGGCCCAGTGCCCAAGGAAAAATACACGAGTATTGGAAAAGGCTCGAAATGCAGGGGCTCTTTTCATTAGGGCCCAAAGGCTCGAAATTCAGGGCCTCTTCTTATTAGGGCCCAAAGGCTCGAAATTCAGGGGCCTCTTTTTATTAGGGCCCAAAGGCTCGAAATTCAGGGGCTCTTTTTATTAGGGCTCAGTTCCGCAAGGTCTCCAATCCCTGCTTTGTCAGGCGGAGCCCCTCCCCCCTGCAACAGAGAGCCTCAACTTGTGAAAAAAAGGAAGGTAGAAAAAAACTTCAAAAAAGAGGGCACCCGCTTCCTTTTCTTTGTTTTTGTGAGGGTGCTCTTATCACCCTCCACAAATAGGCCTCTCACAGACGATTGGGGAAAAAAAAAAAGGAAAAAAAAAGGAAAAAAAAAAGGAAAAAAAAAAAAGAAAAAAAGAAAAAAGAAAAAAGGGGACCCGGTTCCTTTCGGGGGGTTATAACAGAACTCTGTAAAATGCTTTGATTTCTCATATCAGCAAGGAAACTGCACTCCCAAAAATTTGTAAACACGACGAACTTTCACGACCAGCATTCATTCATATGGAGACGAGGCATATCGCAGAAATGACAAAGCAATGCTCGATCACACCAGCACAAGAATCAAGAACGCTCCTTTGGGACATCCGTTAAAATTGGAACGATACACAGAAGACAGAAGATTAGCATGGCCCCTGTGCAAGGATGACACGCATAAATCAAGAAACGGTCCAATTTAATTTAAAAATAAAATAAAAATAGTAATAAGAAAAAAGTAGAGATAATTAGAGAATGTTTTTTTTTTTTTTTTTTTTTTTGCTGCGCTCTCTAATAAAAATTAAAAAAAAAGAAACCTCCTCCGATTTCACCAAGTAATGGAATTCGATGTTTTTTTTTTGGACTGGGGAAGAGGTCCTCTCACCCAGCTGCCTTCTTGCTCAGTTGGTTAGGCTTGGTTAGGGACATGCAGGAGGTTGTGGTTTCGTTAACCCCATGTTGGAAAAGGGAGTACTAAGTAGCAATACTAAATACTACTAAATATAGTTATATACACTAAGCTATTAAAAAAAAAAAAGACGAGGGTACTGTGGTCTTACAGTGTGCGTGTGTTCAAGAGACACAGTCAACCGCGTGTTACTTGCTTTGCTCCTTTTTTTTTTTCTTTTTTTTTTTTCTCTTTTTTTTTTGTCTCCAAATTCGTTTGAACAGCCTGCTGATGTTTAATATTAAATGCTGGTTAAAAAAAAAAAAAAAAAAAAAAAAAAAAAAAAAAAA